TCCACGGTGACTCTGGCAGCAACTAGCTCAGCCTGACCTCAGCTCTTGCCTTTTTCCTTTTACATTTTTTTTCCTTTTCATGATGACAGTGGTGAAGCTCTGCCTCAACTGCCTTCCCTGACTGCACATCCCTGGTGTTAGAGAAGAATCTCCTTGTCTCCATGGGACGACCAGGGCCATCCCACAAAACCTAATATTAGGATAGCAACATAGAGAGAGCAATAGTTCCTTAAATAAGTATCAGGGTCTTAATGTCAGTGTTTGTTGCAGCACAATCAGACAATTCAGCAGGATTCAAAATGCCTTTATTTACATAACAACTAGTGGTGGGTTCCGGATCCCGTTGCAACTGAATTGAAGGTCCGAAAACTCCAAAAAATTCCATCTGTTAAAGCAGGCATATCCAACCCAGGGCCCATAATGATGCAGCCTCACAACATCATAAACTTTTAACATTATGTGATTTATATGCATTCATTATGTTATATAAAGGCAGTTCTCAACTTACAATCATTTGTTTAGTGACCATTTAAAGTTACAACAGCACTGAAGAAAATGACAATTTTTCACACAGCCCTTGTAACATCCCTGTAGTCCGGGGGTGTCAAACTCGAGGCCTATGGGCCATATCTGGCCTGCAGGATGTTTAGATCTGGCCATCAGGCCTGTTTCCCCCTGGAAACATTAAAGCACCGGCCCGTGGTGCCTCTGTCAGCAAAAATGAAGCTCGGGAGGGTGACGTGCGGTCCTCCCGGACTCCATTTTTGGCTGCGACGGCCTCCTGCAACCCTCTGCCGGTGAAAATGGAGCTCGGGGAGGCTGTGTATGGCCCATCCGGGCTCCGTTTTCAGCTGTGATATCCTCCTGCAGGGAGGATGTCGCTCTGTTTTCACTGGCAGAGGCCTGCAGGAGGCCATTGAGGCTGGCCATGCCCCCTGGCCATGCGTGCCCCCCCCCCCACGAGATGAAACACAACCCTGGTGTAGTCTTCAATGAAATCGAGTTTGATACCCCTGCTATAGTCACATGATCAAAATTCGAACGTTTTATCAACTGGCATGCATTTATGACAGAAACAGGGATCACACAGTGATTGTTAGGCCAGCAGCTCTGCTCCTGCCTTCCGAGGAATGTTGGTGTGCAGGAAACTGAAGGAGGGGATGCTGCATACCCTGCCTTGGAGGAATGCTTAGAATATAAATCTAACAGATAAATAAATATAAAGCGGGATTTGCAGAAAAACACCACAGCGGCATTATTTTTGGAGAAGGAAGGAATAAAAACTTTTATGGCCAAAACAGACCCTGGTCTGCAGCGTTTTCCCAGAATTGAGTGCAGTTGTTGAATGCAGATGATCTTCTGCACTGGGAAGGAGGCCAGCCATTTTTTCATGGAGGGAGCCTCATCTGAAGAACAGGCTGGGGGAGCGGGGGAGAAGCTTCCGGGCCTTAGATGCACAGGAATGTTGTAAAGATCCATTTGGCTGGCATTTGGGTATGATTGTTTTCCTTTAGCACCACAAGTAAATGAGACGGAGGGAGGAAGGGAAGAAGGAAAGAAAGAGAGAGGAAAGGAGGAAGGGTGGGAAGAAGGAAGGAAAGAAAGAGGGAGAGAAGAAGGAGGGGAAGGAGTCAGGGAATGGGAGGAAGGAAGAGAGGGAAGAAGGAAGGAAGGAAAGAGGGAGGAAGGGAGGGAATGGGAGGCAGGAAGAGGGGAGGGAAGAAGGAAGGAAGGAAAGAGGGAGGGGAGGAGGAAGGGAATAGGAAAAAGGAAGAGGGGGAGGGAAGGAATAGGAGGAGGGAAGACAGAGGAGGGAAGAAGGAAGGAAAGGAAGGAAGTGAGGGAAGAAGGAAGGAAAGAGAGAGGGAGGAAGGGAATAGGAGGAGGGAAGGAGGGAAGGAGGGAGTCTGGGAGTAGGAGGCAGGAAGAGGGGGAGGGAAGAAGGAAGGAAAGGAAGGAAGTGAGGGAAGAAGGAAGGAAAAAGGGAGGGGAGAGGGAGGAAGGGAAGAGGGGGAGGGAAGGAGGAAGGAAGGAAAGAGGGAGGGGGAGGGAATGGGAAGCAGGAAGAGGAGGGATGGAAGAAGGAAGAAAGGAAAGAGGGAGGGAGGGAGAAGAGAGGGAAGAAGGAAGGAAAAAGGGAGGGGAGAGGGAGGAAGGGAAGAGGGGGAGGGAAGGAGGAAGGAAGGAAAGAGGGAGGGAATGGGAGGGAATGGGTAGCAGGAAGAGGAGGGATGGAAGAAGGAAGAAAGGAAAGAGGGAGGGAGGGAGGAGAGAGGGAAGAAGGAAGGAAAGAGAGAGGGAGGAAGGGAATAGGAGGAGGGAAGGAGGGAAGGAGGGAGTCTGGGAGTAGGAGGCAGGAAGAGGGGGAGGGAAGAAGGAAGGAAAGGAAGGAAGTGAGGGAAGAAGGAAGGAAAGAGAGAGGGAGGAAGGGAATAGGAGGAGGGAAGGAGGGAAGGAGGGAGTCTGGGAGTAGGAGGCAGGAAGAGGGGGAGGGAAGAAGGAAGGAAAGGAAGGAAGTGAGGGAAGAAGGAAGGAAAGAGAGAGGGAGGAAGG